CGCAAGCTACTCAGCTAGGCGGGTTAACATGTGCATCAATGACATTCTCTTGATTCTTATCTTGAGTCGTACTCGGGGCATGACACTGCATCGGGAATGGAACGCTCATGCATATTCCTGCTCCAGGTACTACTGCGGACCATCTTCAGCGAAGGCGTGGATGCCGAACTGCCACGCACGGACATCACCGGTCGGAGGCCTGCTTCGAGCGGGCAAACGTCGGCGAAAACAACTCATATGCAGCCGGATCTGGAGGATTTCTATCACTTCAGCTGGCAACACTGATCATCAACCACTGACGCCACCGCCATCACAGCCGGACTACAAAGCACGCCCACTTCGAGCTATCCTTGGGACATGACACTGCATCGGGAATGGAACGCTCATGCATATTCCTGCTCCAGGTTAGTTATTTAAAGTTCGCTGCTTCCTATCGTTCAAGTGATTACTATTTGTTAGCAGTTCGTGCACCGGCTACTGGATTGAACCTTACCGGCGTGCTCGTTTTTTTTTTTTTTTGTGCCCGCGGAACGGAGGGGTATTGTGTTGCTCATGTGCGCCGACGTGGAAGCAAATCCGGAACCGGATGACGCACCCGCTGTCTCCATTTCAAACACTGACGTCATCTTGACAACGGTACTTGCCACAGTTCAAAGGATAGAGCAAGGTCAAATTAGTGTACTCTCAGAAATAAAATAACTCAGAGAGAAGAAAAGACGAGGGACGAAAGGATGCAGGAGCTCTACTCAAGGGTAGTGGCGCTGGAAACAAAAACTAGTAACGCGTCTGCGTTCAAAATGGTGGTGTTTCAAGTGAATCCCTTTCCACTGTTTATTAAAAGTTCAGTGATGTTATAACCAGATGTGGCGACGCAGAAAATAGACTAAGGCGATGCAATTTGATGTTTTTTCGGTCTTTCTGACGACTCCAACGAAACGTGGAACATCTGTGAACAAAACATCGTAAACTTTTGAGCGGAAAAACTTGAGATTACCATTGCGGCTGACAATATTGAATAAGCTCACCGCCTGGGAAAGGTGGTTACTGGAAAATATCGACCCATAATCGTCAGGTTTCTTCGTTTCAAATATAAAGAGCACATACTATCTTTTGGGTTTAAACTTAAGGACACTCCCTTTGCAGTAAGAGAACACTTTTCCCTCGCTGTGCGAGTAGAAGAGCAAGGCTACTCGCATTTGCAAAAGAAAAAAAAAGCTCCTTTTAAACTACGATTTGATAAGCTCAAACTCAACAACAGAACGTACACTACAATCAGAAAGCTGACTGCATCAGAGAAGTAAGATAGCAACAAGAAAATTTGGGCACTCACGCCTGCGTCGTTGTTCCCCCTCCTTACACACGTGCATAGATAAACCACCCCCCTCCTTATCGTTTACTAACATTCCTAGCATCCTTCCTAACGCGATGAATTGAGTCAATTTATCGAAGATAGCAACTCTGACATAATTGTGCTGACAGTAACGTGGATAAACCCGGATAGCATGAACATCGATATTTTTCCGGATAGAAATGACTTTCAAATATATCGCCGGGATCGCCTAAACAAACGAGGAGGTGGTGTCATGATAGCCATAAGAATCATGCGCCCTCGTACGTCATTAACCTAAGTAGCAACCTAGAGTCACTTTAGGTAAGTTTATCTTTATCTAGAGGCAAATATGTTGTTGGTGTATGTTACAGGCCTCCAGATTGTAATAAGTTATTGTGCTGAGTTAAGAAATATACTTTCTGTTATCAAAAGCAGGTTTGGAGATGCTAACACTCTGTTATTTGGTCACTAATTTTCCAAACATTGACTGGACAAACTGACATTTCATCATCATGTTAGGAGGAACAGACGTTCGGTGAATCATCTCTTGACTTCAACCTCGAACAAGTAATTGATCAACCAACGGGTTTCAACAACATTCTTGATCTTCTCCTTGTGTCTCATCTTGGCATGATTAGCTCAATCAAGTACATAAACGGCATAGGTGACCATAAACTAATACAGATGACCCTAAATATATTCTCACCTGAACACTCAACAACTTCTAAAAAATATACTTTATTACAATAAAGCTGATTATTTTCAAATGAATGAAGACCTCGATGTATTTTTCAACAGCTTTTGTATATTTCTGGAGTCACACAGTAAATGAAAATAGGTTATTTCATAAAAATGAATGGCTGAATGCGTTAACCGTTATGTGCCACGCTTTAAAATATTTTCTGATCGCAACAATCCATGGTTTAGCAAGAGATTGAAAGCCCTGCGCAATAAGAAGAAACGGTTTTTTTGAGCTGCTAGGCATGCCGACACAGAACATGCTTGGTTGAAGTACATCTTTTGCGCAAAGCTTTATGTTAATCTTCTACTATAATTTAAAGGAAAATTTTATAACTGCGACCTACCATCCGTCGTAAAACACAACCTTAAAGAATTCCAGAAGCTTATCGCTCCAGATGAAACCACAAAAAATATCCTTGATTAACCGGGAAGGTGATACCATTTATGATGTTGGATGTCCTGTTGTTATGAATAACCATTTTGCGTCTAAGTTTACACAGGAGGATACGTCCACATTGCCCGTTATCAATGACGTTAGCTGTCGATTTATGAGTCCTATTTCTATATCACCTTCAGGAATTGAAAGGATTATATATAACTTAAAAATACTACGTCGGCTGGCACGGATAAAATTAACTCTAAGATTCTTAAAAATACAAAGCGCATATCCAGTGAAATTTGGAATATACTTTTTCAACAATCATTGTCCGCCGGTATTATTCCAGACGACTGGAAAATAGGGTTGGTCGTTCCAGTGTTCGAAAATGGAGATCACCACCTCGCCAGAGAACTACCGTCCCATCTCTTTAACCAGTGTGGTGTTCAAACTGCTTGAACATATTATTTCTCCAAATGTTGCATCGTATCCTGAGTCTAACAATTTTTTTTTATAAACATCATTGTGGTTTTTATAAAGGCTTTTCTTGTGAAGCGCAACTATTTGAATTCACCCATGACCTACATCTCAACATACACTAACTCTCAAACTGATGACATATTTCTAGACTTTTCTAAAGCATTCGACCGCGTTCCCCATTGTCGCCTTTTGTCTAAGCTCTCTTCACTTAATTTTGATTCCCTAACACTCTCATGGATTCGCAATTTTCTATCGTTTCGCTCTCAGTATACTGTTTGTGGTGATTTGCAATCTGACATTACTAACGTGACCTCTGGCGTTCCGCAAGGCTGCGTCTTGGGTCCTTTGTTATTTCTTATCTTCAGTAACGACCTTCCAAATGCTTTGTTTTCTAATGTACGTTTGTTTGCGGATGACTGTGTCTTGTACAGAAGAATTAACACTCCAGATGACCACATACTCCCGCAGCATGATCCTGATAGCATTAATAACTGGTGTGAAAAAATAGCGAATGCTACTTAATAAATCGAAATGACAGGTAATAAACCTCACTCGCAAACGATCTTTATCTCACTTCTCACACATATTAGGCGCTTCATCTCTTAGTGTGTGTCCATCCCACAAGTATCTTGATGTCCATCTTATAACTAACCTTTCATGGGTCACCCATATTAACTTTGTGACCACCGACGCATCTAGAAATCTCGATTATATCAAACACAACCTTAGAACAGCCCCTAACCATCTCCGCAAACTTGCTTACGAAATATTTGTCCGTCCGAAACTCGAATACCCTGCAGGGATTTGGAGTCATTTTGAAAAACAGCGCGAATATCACACGGACAAGAAGGAGGAACACACAGGACAAGGCGCTGTTTTTCCTTCTTGTCCGTGTGATATTCGCGCTGTTTTTCAAAATGAATTCATACCAACTCGCCCAACTTTCCATTCTAGTAAGGGATTTGGAGCCCCAATCAGAAATACCTAACCAGGTACATTGAAAAAGTCCACAATCTAGCAGTGTGTTTTATAGTATCCTCCTGTTCATATAACATGAGTGTCTCTCTCCTAAAACATCAATGTTTTTTGCCATTGCTCGAAGTACGTCGAACCATTTCGACTCTGTGCCTATTTCACAAGTTATATTATAGGAATGGTATTTCAAGCGTTACTTTCCTGAAACCCCCTAATAGGTCATCTCATCGTACTACTAACAGTAAAAGTTTTTTAACACCTCACTGGGTCAACCAACGCGTTCGTTAATTCAGTCGTACCACGTGGCATCCGCGTATGGAACGACCTTCCCGAATCCATAGTCACCATTAGCGAGACTGCAGTGTTCCGTGAACCACTTGAATCATATTTTCAAACATCTGCGTCTTTGTTCGTGTGTAATATGGCAACCTTCTATAACAGTCTCATGTGTTTATTGTTTGGACTTATCTTGTCCCTACGCGATCATTTTGTGGAAAACTGTATGGGCATTTGTTTCTATATTTTTTTTTTACTTTTCAATTTATGTATTTGAACCCGCCCCCCCCCCCCCCCCCTTACGCAATGCTCTGAAAAAGAGCAAGTGAGATATTGTGAATAAATAAATAAATAAATAATTTTTTCTTAAATACCAAGATCTCCCAATGACATTCTCTTAATTCTTATTTTGAGTCAAATTATTTTTTTTTTAGGTACCAACACATCCAACTTTAACGTTACATTTTATAGCTCAGAAAAATGCCAAATTGTACTATTTGACATTGGAATACTTATATACAGAGCTCTGACAAGAGACACCAGCTGGCACTTTCGATGTCGGCAATTATATCAGGCATATTTTTTTAAGTGACAAAATAGTCAATTTATAAGGCTATCTGAATAATTGACACCTCAACATAGCGACAGAATGCTCATTATTTTGCAAGGTGCTCAATAAAGATAAACAACACCCAGTTAGCAAAATTTTAAGCATTGAAAGTCAGTTATCAAATATTTTGTGAGTAGGTGTAAATTGGCGTAGGTGAACATTAGACACATTGCTTGGCACATCATGAAACCGAGCTTAGTGGGATAACTTACATCGAGGTCATGCAGCTTGAAGGTGGAGAGCGTAAAACTGGGCCTCACATCCTTGGCTTGAAGAGACACCTGGTAGTCGCCGTAAAGCTTGTGACAGTCCAGCGTGTTTTGAGGGAAGTAAGGGGCGCACCGTTGCTGCGTAATCAAGAGCGATAATCAAATACGGAACCACAAAACAAGTACATAGTGCACAACTCTAAGGGCGTGGCCTGGCCTGACACATGGCGCATTTATGGTCTTACATTTCACACCGCCTGTTAGGAAGCGATCGGAGCTTTTGTGTAGTCATAATATACCTCACTAGTATGTAGTATATATATATATATATATATATATATATTAGCAAGGTTTCGGGATTTAGGAAGTTTAAAGCTACTTCGGCTAGGACGTTGTTTTGGCCCAAAAACCCTAACTGACCTAAGTAATATTGCGTGACGTGAAACCCAGCCTGCCGGGCACAAAATCGGAAGCGGAGAATGTACTTCATGAATTCTGGACCCACAATGCCAAAAGTGTTAATTCACGTAGCATACCTACATATTTTATTTAGAAAAAAAAAATTACCTATATTTTGCTTTTAGCAGTTTAGAATTAATGCCACATTATTTTAGAACGACGTAAATCTAGAAGACAAAAAGAAAAGCCGCATATAAAGATGAACGCTACCTTGCACAGTGCTTCTTACAAAACTCTCATATGTTTCTCGCGATCTAGATACAACAGGTTGGGCGACGCTGCTTTGAAAACTTCTCACAAACAATTAGCGCGAGGCTTCGAGCGCAATGCAACGGAATGGGCTAAATGTCAAAGTAACACTGTTGCCACTCACCACACCATTTTCCTCGCATGGAGTGAGCATAAGAATAACTTTGCACTGCTGTTCCCAGACCATTCGCCAAAAATCTTTCACAGTTTCCGGCAGGGGTGCCTGGCATGCAATGTAGTGACGAGATCGACCTTTGTAGCCCTGAAAAGACGAAAAAAAATTATAACTGAAATATTTCTGGTTGCACAAGAACAACGCAGAAGAAAACAGCCGTTGACTAATGGGTAAATAAAAGCTAGCGCAGTTAATATGAAACGTCAAGGAGCTTATGCATTTTTTATACATATATATCATTGGGATGAGAGATATCACATCACATATTTTGGGGCAATTATCGCTAAGCGCATTGTTTATTTAAATATCTGACACCTCTAACTATAAAAACAACCAGTACGGTTTAAGTTATATCAATTTAATGTGCAATCCTTAAAGGTGCCCTGAGGGGGTTTTTGAGATCACATTAATATGGCAACAACTCACTCTGCGGGCTCTAAGCATCGTAGAAATCCATAAGTCATCAGAATGCGCGACCGATTTTCCTAGTAAAAAGCAATCAAAAATCGAAGTTATTGACGGCGATTGGAGGGGCATTCTCCCGGTAGCCAGGACGGCGCGTGATCAATGAAAACGCGACATTTCGTTGAGGTTGCAAACTCTGTTATCACAAAATGTGTACGCTTTTGTAGGCGATAGAAGCAAGTGAGAGTAGTCGAACAATGTAAATATTTCGCCGAGAGGCAGTATACTACTGCAATAGCGGTCTCCAAAAAAAAAAAAAACTATCTTCTCTTCTTTTTCTTCGAATGAGTGATGTGTCCGGTTGTCAGCTCTCGAGTGCTCGATCATTCGCTCGTTCGGTTGAATCGTAGTCCGGGCTGTGGGAGCAACGAGCCGCGCGCATTTGAGATATCACTCCGCGGTTTCCCCGATTGGAGGCGCGAGAATCCTTCGATTGCTGTTGACTGACAGTGATCCTGGTTTTGGGACATGCACCTCCCATCGTCGGAGTGGTAATCGGTGTTTTCCGATCTTGGATTGCTTTTTTAATAGAAAACTCGTCCGCGGATCGTCATAATTTGGGGATTTCTAGGATGTTTAGAGCCAGCAGAGTGAGTTATCGCCATATTTAAGCGATCTCAAAAACCTTTCAGGGCACCTTTAACACAATTGGTTTTAAAATGCTCTCATTCATCTCTTTTTCTTCCTTCCTGAAAAAAAATTATTGTTTTTTTTAATTATTTTGCAATATCGCCACTGAAAATGGTTAACTGGAGGTTTTTAACGCCACTTTTATGCTGTCCAAGGCTTCGGTGCACAACACCTACGGAAGGGTAGGTGGTTGTTGAAAGCCAAAGAATAAATGAAGTGAAACGAACCCTGACATAGTTGGCGTTGATGTAGTCGGATGTCTCATCGCCGAGCTTCTTGGTCAGGTGAACCCTTGTTTCTGGGACTGAGCAAATATAAACGCAACTTGAAATGTCAGCTGACTCCGGCAAATAAGATAAAACACAGCCGCCCCGAAAAAGTATTAATTATACATTATAATACAATGATTTACTATACAGTTGCATAATACAGCACAATACAATACAGTACAGTGTAATCAAATGCGATGCACTCTAATACGATACAATAAAGTGTAAGTGTAAAGTGTACAATACTATACAGTGTAATACGATACGATGTAGTTTAATGCAGGCTAATGCAATACCGAGACAATACATATTTATTTATTTCGCCTATGAGTATTGCAAAAACTTTCACAAATTAATGAGGCTTGTGCATGGGACGTGGCTGCAGGTTACACTTCCCTTTACAAATAAATAAACTCTATATTCAAGGAAATCAACTGCTTTATAGAGCTTACTTGGAATGACGTTTGCGTAGCGATTTTTTCCTTCCGCGCCGTGAGGAACCTCGTCTACGCGAGGTATAGTCATCGGGATGCGCTGTAGTCAGTCATGCAAGAAGGAACATTCAGTACGCTCAGCATTTAGCACACATATCTGGAAATCCTAAGACATTTCGCCACTTCTAGTTAGGCTGATAAATTCGATCCTATTGATGCAGTCTTTTCTCGACATGTCAGTAACACTGGTAAGCCGTTAGTACTGACAATATTAACTTTCAGTCTGTGAACATAAACACTTGATAATTTCTTCTTCATACCAACAGGAGAAAGTTGTTCTTCATAAAGCTCCGCGATGCTAATACAGAGTTTCTTAAGGCACTCCATTTTATCACGGAATGTTCTAGGAAATCAGTAAAAGCTTCGCCAAGGCATTTACCCCGATATATTTTAAACGACAGGAAGCCGTCGTCAAGCTTCAAGCTTAGCTTTATTATACTATACTTCTAATCTATGATCCTGGTTTTTTCTAATGTACTTGAAGGGGTGGTGCAATGATATTTGTACTTTGCGTAAGTACCACTTAGAATGAATCCTTGAAGCTTCTAACCTATGAAACACGCGTTAGTTTTTCTCCTCCTGGAATACTTGCAAAAAAATTGAAATTGATAAATTAAAAAAAAAAAAAAACAACGAGCAGCGTTTTATTTTTTTCTTTCAATTTGCAGTTAGAACATGCGGCCATGTGACCTGGAGCCGATTATATAGGGGTGTTTACAAAGAGTACAAATCTCTCTCTATGCTCTCCGAGACGCGCATAACGTGACAACAAAAACGTCTCGTCTTTGCGCGGAGCAGCGCTGACGTAGGCATCCCGGCGAAGAGGGGAGCTTTTGCACGGACTGCACAAAGGCGTGGGATCTTTTTGCAATTGGCGGTACCAAATTTGTGAGTCTGGTAACTCAGCGAGGTGCCGGCGGTGGCACCAGGATCGCCTAAATTGTGACTTGCGCTGTACTGCGTATGTCTTCCGAGGCATCCGAAGGAGTCTTCGATATTCATCAATGCCGCCCCTCAAGCCGCTCCTCATACCGCTGGTTTTTGATTCTACGTCCTTCGTGTTGCATTCGCCCATTCAAGAAGCATCGTTCTTTTAGCAGAGCGCAGTGTGTCGTCTTGTACATCTGAGAGCGCTGCTGCCATAATCGCGTATTGCCGTTTAATGTACGCCTTCATTTTAGAGCACAGCTCTTAGGCGCCTGTTTCCGCGTTGAGCGGCGTCGGCGTTGCATTATGGGACGTCACAGTTTCCTCGCTAAGTTTAGCGGGGAAACTGAACTGGGTTTCAGGTCATGTCACGACAGTTTTACCACTAAGTTTAGCGGGGAAAGTGAATGCGCAGTGTTGCATCATGGGAAGTCAGAGACCTACACACCAATTCAGTCTCCCCGCTAAATTTAGCGGGAAATTGAATTGGTGCTTAGGTCACGTTACGTCGATTTTTCCTTATATTTGACTGAGAAACTGAATTTATTTATAGGTCACGTGACACAAAGTCATGTGACGTCATTTTCCCGCTAAATTTAGCGGGCAAAATAAATTGGTGTTCCGCTCACGTTGCGTCGATTCTCCAGCTAAATTTAGCGGGGAAACTGTGGGAGGAGGGGAGAGTATGGAGGAGGAGGAGGAGGGGAGGGTACGGAAAAGGAGGATGGGAGGGTACGGAGGAGGAGGGTACGAAGGAGGAAGAGGAGCAGGGTGCAGAAAGAGCATGTGAGGAGAGTGATCTGCATTTGTGTGCACACATATATATATATATATATATATATATATATACAACGCGGGCACGTCACACCATCGTACGTGGTCTCCGAGAAGGATATAAACTAATATGTGCAGATGAATGAACCATATTTAACCCAATGAATCAAAGAATTGAAGTTTTCAGGAACCCGCCGAAAGCCAAAAAACGGCGGAGTGGTTAGCACACCCGACCGGACATTGGGAGGCCCAGAGTTCAAATCCTGGCTCCGCCGTTTTTTGGCTTTCGGCGGGTTCCTGAAAACTTCAATTCTTTGATTTATTGGGTTAAGTATGGTTCATTCATCTGTACATATTCGTTTATATCCTCCTCGGAGACCACGTACGATGGTGTGAAGTGCCCGCGTTGTATGTTCAAAAACGTGGCTCTTGATTCTCGCAGATGATGATGATACCGTGTCTCTAAAGCTCATAAACAAAAAATACTACATGTACGCGGGACGGGACAAACAGTAGGAGGATTTCTGGAACACAAAGGAGCACGTACCACGTGACATTAAGCGTCGTACCGCGTTCCACGCGGCGGCGTGTGTTTCCAGAACACCTCCGACTGGATACATTTCGTTTCTTGTGCATTATTAAGACAGGTAGGAAACGCCAGAAAGCTAAGGTGGAGTTGTGTAGTGGTTAGCACACCCGACCGGACATTGGGAGGCCCAGAGTTCAAATCCTGGCTCCGCCGTTTTTTGGCTTTCGGCGGGTTCCTGAAAACTTAAATTCTTTGATTCATTGGGTTAAGTATGGTTCATTCATCTGGACATATTCGTTATATATATATTTCTTTTTGAAATTGTTTTGTACGGTATTTCGCAAACACAAGATACATCAAGAGCTGCGCTCTAATTTCGCATTACAGAGATTCGTGAACGTCTTCCATTTTTTATAATATCCACGCACTGGGGTTGGCGAATCACAGGACACGCGCTGTGTTCCAGCCAATGTTAGGGTTCGGCTATTGTCGTCATTGCAGCGATTGGACACGAGACACTACCTAAAAGCTTGTCCAGCTATCGATTATCGCGAACCCACATCGAGTGCTCACGTAATGCTGGAGTTGAATCCATGAGCCAGATTTAAATATCGTCACTGGGGTTCAATTCCTACACTGCGATCTTCAAACTGCGTCATCAAGGTTTTCAAAGGAGGCATTGGCAGTAAGCGCTCGCTTTTATTCTTAAAATTACACCGCAACAAAAGAGTTTCTTCGTCAATTGCGCTGCGTGTAAGTATACTTGTGTCTTTTTAGTGTCAGTAAGCTTCTGTAAAGTGAGAAACATTCCTTCACAATTTCGTTGCACGGACCCCTTTAAATAGCTTCATACTTTTAATAATATCTAATTGTCGCGAGAGACTTACAATCCTGAATAAATCGTAAGTAGAATGGTCGAATGTATGTTCATATATTTCAAATCGTGTATTGTTGCGTGTTATCGCAATGAACTCTTTACCAAGCACTGGCGCTAGCGCAACGTTTCGCAGATCTCACAGAATCAACGGATCGCACCACGAGACCTGGAAGTTTCGTACTTCATATCAGCTATAACTGACAATTAAACGAAGCTATATTTGATTCTATCTTATTAGGTCCCTGCCTTTAGCCGTATAAATTCAACACATTATACCTCCCATTAACCCCACCGCTCATGAAAAAGTTCGTTAGATCATACCTCCCCACTTCTTTCGCTTAAAACATGCGACTTATAACCACATCTTGGAAGAAAGAAAAACACTTTCCCCAATGAATTTTTGTTATACCTCATATTTTCAAGAACAAGTAGTACTTCGCTAGCGCAAATGTCCGAGCTCACCTTGAATTCTTCTTCAAGAGCTTCTTTGTTGGAGATGATTAAAGGAAGGTTGTTGAATGGCACCGGACTACTCAGGTCCTCCTGAAACACGTGATAAGAAACAGATTAACCGAAAGGTAGTATTGTGTGTAAAAATTAACGAATGAGTGATAGACGAACCAGTGAACGCTCTACATTTTGAGACACGTACTGCTAAAATCGCCAATATTAGTTGTGATATCATTGTAAGATTACGAATCTATTTAATCGCAGATATGTTTCTCGTTAATATATAATTTCCCTTGACATTCACCAGCAGGGCAATGTTGCAAGCGTATTTGCACCCCAAGTACAGCTAAGCCGACACGTTAGATTTGATTTCAAAGCTGATTTCAGAGGTTGCACGCATGTCAGCGTAAAGCGCAGTCATTGTCTAATATCGTCAGCTCCCTATGTTAAAACATGGGTTAAAGATCTTATCGGAATCGTCTCGCTGTTAGAGGTCGTGAAATGTACACCTCTTTACGGATGTGAGGTATTGGTTTGTCCGGCGAGACTCGGCGACCGTTGCCATGTACAGCCGCTGAGTGGAGGAGAAACAAGGAGCAGCGCGAGGTTGTTGTTCGTTCCGGCGGTTGAATGAGCGGCCATGATTTACGGGTGTCCTAGATCAAGTGCTTAAAGGCCGACGACCAGTTCACGCTTTCCACTTGTCCCCTGCTTCCTCCTCTCCCTCCTATCACCCTGTCCACCGTTGCCTGTTTCCTCCTCCCCCATGGTGAGGAGGATCTTCTGCCTTGCAGAATCACGCAACTGATCGTCAGCCTTTAAGAGACGTTGGAAGTTGACACAGATATGCGGCAGGGTAACCTTCCTGTGGGAAAACTTTCAAGTTATGGGTTTGAGCTGCCGATGAAAAGGAACCCTTAATATGGAGCTGTCCAGTTAGATCACGTTCAAGCTGATCATCCTACTTTTCTTTTTTTTCTTTACACGAGGTTGACTTGGAAGCATCGGAACTGAACTAGTTGATTTACATCTAATTTTGGTAGTGATTTGTTTGTAACAACCATTCTCCTCCGCACTGTTTTGGACGATAGTTCTAATGTTTTATTTAGAGTGCATGATGATTTCTTCACAAATGGTCCGTGAAACCTGAAAACTGGGGCCGAAATGGCGCAGAGAAAATCGGCGTTTTGAAAGCATTAAAGAAGCCCAGTGTCTGATCAAGACTTCAGTTTTATAAAGCCACTGACAGAACGAGGTCGTCAGGGAGGAGTTTTAATTGTCCCGTGTTGAGCACGAAGTTTCTACCTCTGACGACACTTGGGTGTCTCGTGGCCCGTGCTGGAGATCGCGCGTCCGATAGATATGTCATGCCGTTGTCACCCTGTCAGCGACTCCAGAGTTAGTTCTTAATTTGAGCTTTTGTTACGTTGTGCGTGCGTGGTTTTGGTAAATTTTCACGTCTGATGTTTCTTGTGGGTGCAACTCGCAGCATACCTCGCAGAAAAAGCGCAAGCTCTCGCCGTCAATATATATACATATGAAATACCGCCTGAACTTAGCTTGAGCTACACCGAAGCAATGGAATAAAAGAGCAAGAAAACAGTTCCGCTACGTACGTGGCCGTCAAAGGCATCGTTGAGGAAAGAACGCAAGGAATTTCGTATCGTCTTTTTTCGGAAACTGGACTTAAAGGAAGCCATGCTCAGTCCGTCCACTGTATTCGTCGTGCTGTGTTTGTTCAGCAACCGCTGCCGCATCACCACCTGCGTGTTGAACGGAGAGCAATAGCATACCAGCCGCAAATCAGCATTTACGTCTTGAGAGCTATAGTACATCAATTTTTCATATGTATTATTGTTTGTATCTCTTTGTATTTTTATCATTTCGTTTGTAATATAAACAACAAGTAACATACGCGTTTGCTTCGTTTGTAGCTTGGCGGAACGTATGGTGTTGATACTCTGTAGATACTCTGTAGTGGAATGGCATTGCGCGAATCGAATAATTATGTTATAGAATTAGGATTCTATAACGTAATTACATTGGCCACGTTTTCCCGAAACCCGTGTCATGCACGGCCTTTAGTTATCGTACTCATCTGGAAAGTATTCTTGATTAATTTAGGCAATGTTTCGATTTAAACACCCTAATAAGGTTAGGCTGCGATCGCTTTTTGTTAACTGATATCTATTAAATGAGAAATGAGAATTCTACGTAACGGTGTGATAAAACCACTTACCAAATTAGTAAAAAAAAGTTAAACTTGGAGTTTGATTAAAACTATCCCGACGAAACTGGAATAGCCGGGCATACGACAATTTGAAGGTATAGTACGTGTTTCATAATATAAAAAAATAGAATAAGATATGATAGAGAATAATTTCTTAATTACGTTGGCGAACCAACTCTGTAATCGAGAAACACATTGAAAAGAATATGCAACGAAAAGAGAATTTACTAGGTTATAGCACTCAAGATAATTATTACCACAGACAGAAATTCTGCAGGCCACCAGAGAGGCACTTAACCAATGCAAGTGATGCCAATTATCTAAGTAGAAAACGCAAAGGGAAGGTATCGCACAAAAGGTTCACATTTCTTCGCTTCCGATTTAGCTTTTTTCTCTCGCTTACAAAACAATCTGCTTAAAATAATAAGTTTTTCTTAAAGCCGAGACGCGCAAAATCCAGAGTTTAAGTGAAGCCTTCAGCAACAAGCGAGACTGTGATTATTAAGAGCTGCAATTAAACGGCGCGCCCAGAACAAACGCACGTTTATCATAAGTACCTCATACTGCATATTCTAATTGTAATCGGGTTTGTCTGTAGGAATGCCGCGAACCTCCTAAAGGTCGAGTTCAAAAGGGTCGAAAATTTTGAACCTCCCTAAGGCTCGAAATCAAAAAGTTCGCAACATTAGAACCCCGTTAAGGTTTGACTTTGAAAATTCGAAAGTGTCATGGTTTCTAAAAGTTCGATTTCGAATATTTCTAATTATTTCACAAATGCTCCAAGAAATGTGAAGATCTCAGTCTTTTTTTAGGATTAAACTTTGAAAAAATCGAAGACTTCAAATTTTTTTGAGGTACAGGTTCGAAAAGGTAGAAAATTTCGATTTTAAGATTAAAGTCGGAATTTCCTGAACATAGGTTGAATTCCGCATTTTCGAATCAAGTTTTTATGTATTCGTCTAAAAAATTGCCATATGTGCCACAACTTACTGAAAACGGTCCACATTTTTTCTTATAACGTAAATACTCCTCAGTGCTATACTGGCGGTATTACTCTATACTACTCGTTATTTGTTCCAACTTATAAAAAAAGAGTTGAACTGGTTGAACGTTTCATCGAAAAGGCCTAAGGCAGTCAGGTGAACATACGTCTTATGGCTTTGCAAACTAGTAACAATCCGATCAAACGTCGCCTGAATGCCATGCTGGCATAAAACAACTCAATAAACAGGGCCACACAGGCAGATAAAGACATCCCGGCTTCCCGAAAATTTAAGTTGCTCTGAGCGTTTATTTTTGGTTGGATGAGTGCGTGAAATGATAAAAATCTGGACACTGTCACTGCATCCGACACTAGTCAAGGTTAAGTAGAACGCAACCAGACTGAATGTAACCCCCGAATGATCCCTTTGGAATGGCCGATGTCAAAGCAAAGTGATCATTCGGCGCTTTAAAAGTGAAGCATTTGTGGCACGATTTGCTAAGTAAATCTCCAGTGTAATTTCCACTCAACTTCATGCATTGATATATTGTGTTATTTATATTGCCTCGACCCTATGGGGTTGAACTTCATTCGAACTTCGTACTTTTGTTCAAAAGTTCGAAGTTCGATGAACTTATTAGCTTAGCAGACTCGAAAGTTCAAAAATCATTGAATGTTTGAACGTATAAGTTATAAATCTAAAAGTTGCCAAATTTCACAGTGCGAAAAATGAGAAAGTTAAGAAACAATTTTTTTTTTCAGCGGTAAAAAGCGAAAGTTCGAATATAGTAGAATTTTTTATGTATTAAGTCCGAGATTTCGAAACGTTTTCGAACCTCTTGAACCCGTTGCTTTGATCTTCGAGCCTCATGTTCGAAAACAGTTCTAGGCATCGCTATTTGTCTGCATGGTGGTTAGACAGCGGCTTGTTAGTCATTATCAATGGTCGTCTGCTGTCTCCGCAGTGGACGAGCAATTTTGCCAGTACAGTACCAATATTGATGCATAGCCTGAATGAAGTATTAACAAGTAACTAAAGTAGAGGACAATTGGAAGAGAAATACCTCGCAATCTAGCCAGAGGTATCCGTGGCACGTACGCTGCTCACTGCTGCACACAGTGTACACTGCTTTGTTTAAACTTAACGGACTTGCATTGCAGCGGACGATGTTCCTGTGGAGCTTTGACGTCACGTGATGCCAAAAAATGCCGTGACACTGACGTTTCGTGGCACTACGACGTAACGTGACACACAATTCCCGCTAAATTCAGCGGACATATTCACACGGTGTTAGGCGACGTCATGTTGCACGGCGTCACGTAACACCCTGAATCTCTGCTACATTTAACGAAGAGATTTTTCTCCACTAAATTTGGTGGGTCACGACGTGCATAGAAGAAACACGCACGTCCGGGACCCGGTGCGAAACCTCACCAATATTGATCAGATGAAACTAAGATATATATACATACATTGGCATGCTTTACAAACGTTTAGTATGCACGCGATGGTACCGTCGGCTTGCAGGCGTGCAGCCCCGGGGTTGTTCGTGAAGTGAATGCGGGTGATTGCAAGCCTGCTAAAGGCACATTCCCGTGCTCGATGCACACGTATGACACTTTTCGGTGTCGTTTGTTTTTGTTTGTCGCTCTAGTGGGACTTGGGCAGAACGGCTACCGGCGAAAAACATAAAGAAAAGACAAGTCACGTTTTGGTTGGTGCCTTCAACGCAAATAAAAGCAGTAAAGACGTAGTGACGAGGAGCAGACACAAGCAGCTCTTTCAACTACTAACGGCAGTTTAATGTCGCCCGATAGACGCTGACAAGATTCGGCCCCAAGGGTGAAGGGGATCATGCCTTGTCGGCGCACCTTTTCGGTGACATTAAAGTGTCGTTACTAGTTGAAAGAGCTGTAAGGACTTGTCCTTCCTTCCTAAGTGCCTGTCGTATCTCGAGACATTTTTCGCCCTCGTTCTTAGTTGTACAGATCAATCACCTCATTATTAGGCTGCGTTTGTACCCTTGCTTTTGATAACAACGCACAAAACAGCCCAGTGATTCTTGTTGACAAACGTCCCACTTTTGCATCCTGGTTTGATGGGCCCCGGGGGGGGGGGGGGGGGGGGGGGGGGAGGCAGGTAGGTAGTTAAAAAATATGGCACTATTTAGGTCACAAACAAAGTGATCAGGTGATTTCTGTGTTACTATTGTTTTATTGTAATGTTCTACAAAAAAAAAACACGAAATATTTAAGAGGAGATTGTCAAATAAAAGGCTTTTTCCCTTCCGGAAAGCCGCGTTCCGCCGTGTTGATGAACAGCTAATGCCACTCCCCACATTAGTACGGTGACTGGAGTGCGTCTCCGCCGGGTGTTTGGCGTCCTATGCTGCACATAGATCAAAAGTGCTCCCGAAGGGGCAGCAAATGACGTCACAGAAGCCGGAGTGTCATACTCTTGCATGTCGCAATCCTAGCGTTTGGGACTAGAAGTACCGGCAAGAAGACACGAGCGAACGCGAGTGTCGCTGTCCTCGAGGCGTTCCAACTCCTGGCTTCAGAAGCTTCTGTGGACTGTCAAGCTGGAGAGCGATATGCAGCAGAACAGGCGTCTGCCACATACACCACCAATGCCATGACACCACCAGGATCGCAGCCGGCGGCACCATGACGCTTTTATGACATTATCTGGCGGAAATCGAGGGACCACTTTTTGAGACGCAGTAAACACACCACTCGGAGACAGTTCCAGGAACCATATACCATTAGTTTGCGTTAAGACGCTTACTTATTGGCGTCGTTATTGGTTTTGGTGAAATGGACGAGCATGACGAGTGGCTTCGTCGACTATGCGGAGAGCAAGTCGTCTGCTTCTTGCTCAGGAGTTGGGGTGGTGTCAGAACGGCGATCTGATTGGCTTTGGTCGAAAGGATAGTGGGTAAACTTCAATGCTAGACGCCTTGAGCTGTACAGACTATTTTTTTTTTTCAATCAGCCAATGAGAGCCCGGCGTTCTGACAAGAACCAGACGAACTCGCGCTCCGCATAGAACTTGGTAAGTATACGATCCTGGGTGTATTAGGGGTGTCAAAAGCAAGGCCTACTCGTTTTTGTTTTTCATTCGGAGCCGTCCCCGGGGCATTTTATGCGGCCATTTTAGCCGCCGACGGATCGACTTGTCAATCGGAGGCTCCTCCAAAGTCAATCGAAAGCTCGTTCGAGACTGCAGCATTAAAACGACAAGAACGTCGAGGAAAGAATCACGAAACAATTAGATGTGGGAATATGCAATTACCCACGCCCCGCGTTTCTTAAGTTATCACTGAGTAAAGCTGAGGCTCGTCGCAGCGTTCAGTGTGAGCCGCGCAGGAAGATAAAACGAAGTGAGGCGAGCGGATGATGGACCGCGAATTCGGGATTTCGCTGTCACGCGATGTGCGTGGTTGTATGCGTGCCCTGGCGGCGCTTACAAGCAGAATACAGATGAGGAAGAGGCTGGCGCCGGCGATGGCCGAGATGGTGATGGAGGCGATGACGCTGCTCGAGGCCGGGCCGTACACGCGGGCGTCCTCGGGCATCAGTGACGGCGTACCGTGCTGCCCGCTGTAGAAGCACACGTTCATCATCTGCGAGGAAACGACCCCCGTTCATATCAGGCCGACGCGACTTCACTCGTAGACTTTCTTTTGCAGCGAAGCTATTATGTGCTAGGATCTGGAAAAAAAATGACCGCATCTCCGCGTGGTGAATGATGTTGATCGGGGCGGAGCTCTGGTGGTGCTGATGATACTGGTTTTATTGTTCCTAGGTAGTGCTGATGGTGCTGATTTCTTTTTTATTGCTCATAGGTAGTTCTGAGTTCCGGGTTGCGTTTCGACTTCATTATTACTGCTTTAGGGTCGGTGAAATGCAGAGCCAGGGGTTCTTCTAGCGGATCAACTTGGATCCGCTAGTAGCCGTGGAAACGCGTCTCCACCGCTTAACTCAACGGCCCATGTCAGAAAGAGAGTGCGTGGTATAGAACGTGGTTATATACGCAGTTGAGCATTTGACCGGAGTGCCCTCTCGTCTATAAACGTTGAGCTAATGCATGAAAAGTTTAACGCGAGTATATACGCATTTGACCGCAGCGCCCTCTCCTGTATAAACGTTGAGCGGCTACATGCCACGTTTCATCCATGACATCCCCAGCTCTTGAGTTACTATCACTTCTCAGAGCCCCCTACTCGTCCCGCAGTCGTGGCCGAGTGGTTAAGGCGATGCATTAGAAATCCATTGGGGTCTCCCCGCACAGGTTCGAGTCCTGTCGACTGCGCAAACATCTTTTCTTTTTATGTGAGCACGGACGCCGGACGGACGGACAGACGGACAAGGCTAGATCCTAAGGAGCTTCGCCCCTAAAAAATGCGTCCATGAATGCTAACAAAGACACTCCCGTTTAAACGACGCTCCTTCGTTCCTATATGTCGTGGCAAGTATAAATATAAAGGGGGCAACCAGCGTGAGTCAGCCTTCCTTGGCATTATTAGATATACTTCGTATCAGCTTCGGTCCGAGTGTGGCCGACGTTATGAGCTGAAGGGCCAATCAAACACCGGGAAAAGCGCAGCGTCATGGCGTGCTCTCGGCGCTTGATAAGACTACCCGACGGAGGAGCACGCACAGAGACGGCGAATATCGGCTGGTCCTATCAACTGCAGAGAGCACGGCATGATGTTGTGCCTCTTTCGCTGTTTGATTGGCCCTTCGGCTCATAACATCGGCCGCGCTCGGACCGAAGCTGAAACGATATAGTGAGGTCCTGATTCTTGTTATAAAGTCTTCGCTCCCCGAAGGCGGATTCGTGGTGTGGCTAAAGCCAAGACGAGCACAGTTAAAAAATGGTGGTTGCGGCAGGAGTTGTGAGCGTGACGTTGGCGGCATCCTCTCGACTGCGATCTTCAACGCAGGGCGACATTGCACTCCTACAAGAGGTGCACGTCACAAGCCTTTTAAAAGACCCAGCAAGGTGTGCAACGCTCGCCGGCCACTTGCTGCCTGCAACGCGTGAACGTTTCTTGGCGAAGGTAGTGCGGTGTGCGAAGGTGGGCACACGAGACCTTCTTGCCGAGGCAGCGCAAGCGGACGCGCTCCCGTCGCATTCACATATTTAAACGAATCTAAAATCTTACTCTGAAGAAATAAACTTGTTTTTTTTTCTCTAAAGTTAGAGCATTTCGCGTGTAAAATAAAAAAGTGTTACTGTATGTTTACTGCGTTGCAATCGGGAGATGCTTGGGCTTTTCCGTCGCGGCGGAGAAACGCTATTCTAATACACTCCTGCACAGCTTGCGGTAACGCAAGCGCTAATTTTAGCACTAGCGTGAGCTAATCTAAAACTCCCTAATGATGACTTTAGTCACTAAAAATGAAATAAAGACAAACAACAAAGTCGTGTGCGTGTCTTCATTGCAATCACATGTAAATCGTGTAGATGTCGTAAAGTTGTCACAAAGTTAACAGTTTCGCTGCTCCTCTACCTTCGCGTGAAGTGGATGGCTTGTACAAGGTTTTTAGTGTCTCATTTGGCTCGTTGCTCTCCTATCCTTGTTTGAACGGCTATGAAACATGACGACAAAGTTTATACATTGCTCAAAGCAAGGAGGGGGGGGGGGGGGGGTTAGAAATGTTTTGTCGTTCCAATATACCTGACATCTTTTTGCTTTTTAAATAAAGATGCTATTATAAATTCCTCTCTTGCACATATTTGCCGGGACGGCCCCCGTAGCTTTTACGTCGACGCGTGCGCGTACGCCGAGGAACGGGGTTGGAACCCCCACTCGACGTGTTTCTTTTCTTTCATAATTCTTTAACCTTCTCTACGCTGTTTGGAAACGCATCTACGTCATGGTGCGCTTAGTGTCTGATATCGCCCATACATAAAAATATGATCACGAAGTGGCCCCAAACAACGTCACAAAAAACCTGGGTGTGATGCTGTCGGATGTCGCGATCCTGGTGGTTAATCGTAGAAATACTGGCGAAAAGCAGGAACAAACGTGAGTGTCGCTGTCGTCGCGGCGTCCCAACTCCTGGCTGCCGTAACTTCCGTGAACTGTAAAACCGGCGAGCGACCTGCAGCAAAGCAGACGTCTGCCAAAGACACCACCGCTGCTGGAACACCGCCAGGATCGGCGACCGGCGAGAGCATGGGGCATCTATGACGTCATCGGGTGGAAATCGAGGAGGCACTTTTCGGGACGCGGTAAACGCACCAGACGGAGACGCCCTCCAGGAAGCGTGCACCTTCTGAAAGTTCCAGCTTATTATAGGCTGTCATCGAGTGTTCGGATTGGGAACTTTCCTGAACTGACTGCGTGTATGATTGCAGCGGTAACACGACTGCTTCGGGACAGTGTCCCTTCCGTCTCTGACCTAAGATGCCTTTACGTTTCTCTTCAAGTTTGTAGGCATAAGATGACCTCATGAAGTATTTATTCCCAATTTTACGCTCATCTTATATTTTTATTTGTGACAATATTGTTTACATTTAAAGCAGATTTGTAAAGAAAGGTCACAAAAAACACGATAGGTTGGGGAGAACTGTCTCGCGTTTGAAACACACGTAAATCGACTGTAAGAATAAACCGTTATGCACTAACAAATAACTTTTTGTTCACATCCCTGGTTTTGATTGCGTGGTTTAATCAGCAGCACAGTCGCGACGCATTTGAAACACGAAAGAATAATTTAGAGGTAATGTTAACTGTTATTTGTTATCACTGCTAACGAAATTTTTATGCAAAGGACAAGAGTAGGAAGGAAAAAGCGTAATGGCTAATATTATCAAGGAAACGTGCTTCAGCTGATCGCTTTAATTGAAAAAATGCGATAAATAAAAATAGAAATAAAATAATAATATAATATATTGTAAACAAAACAGGCAACAAGATTAATTTCCCGGCACAGATGCTAACTCCGTCGGCAAGGGAGCCTGCACGCACGGAAGTATGAAAAGGCCGGAGTAACTAAAATATATATTTATATACAAAAATATGAAAGGATATGAAGCGCTGTAACGAATGTTACCTATGAGAAGGTAATTGCACGCACAGACAAACACACCTTAGGAGGTACTTACGTTCAGGCGAACACTCAAGCTTTCGATATATTTGACAGTATTTCAGCGATTTGTACGTTTCATTCTAACCTTGATTTTCCGAAGATTTCAAATCCCGCAGTCGCTAGCTTATAACTTACCTTTCATTTTAAACAAGTATCTAAAATATTACCTATGATGTATTTACTAGTAAAAAGAAGTGCGAGAATTTATTTTTGTAAACAATAGATGATCATACAGTAGTCTATTTGTATATGGTAAAGTTTTGGTGTTCAAGCCTTTATTGTAATTTTTGCTCATAACAAGTCACCTGGGAAACTTTTATTTATGTAATTCATAATTCCATCAACTGGTGATAATTTTTATATAGTGTTTGACATGTGTTATATAGAATTATATGCATTCATAGGGTGTTTACGTGTGCTCATATTGTTACGCGTCATATTTGTTGTATTTTTCACAGAACGTTGACATCTGTATGAACCCCCAGGCACTCTTAAGCTGTCAACGACAACTTCTTCGTCCGGGGACCCCCAGCACTGTGTTGAACAATAAAATTTAATTGAATCAAATATTAATATCATCTTCAGCTCCGACAACCATGCATGCGCCTCTCAAATAAACAGGACGATAATAATAGGGGGTTACAATAAACGACAAGCTAGTTCATTCTTGAAACTAATCTGGTGTTGCGAAAGGTCAACAATTGGGTTCTCGTGTCTTCGTCCTAATATATAAGTCTGCCTATGTGATCCTTTTAGTTTACAACGTTATATTTGGAGGATGTAAAACAAACTAATTAAACGGATTTCGAATTAAGCATTTTCTATACAAAATACACTTCAGTAATATTGTAAAAGGATATTGCCTAATACAATATACGTAGCAAGCTTTCTGCCTGCTTACAAGTTATTTATAATTATGCTGACCAGCAATTTATGTTGATATATATATAGTATCAATTACACGCACGAATATAACAAGATTAACTACCTCACGTACCCCATCCCTTGGTTTAGTTTCGTTTTATAAAAAAAATTATTACACAAATATATTGTAAAAAATGAGACGCCGAAAATATATATTTAGTCCGATTGAGCATTTTGGAATACACCTTGTAATAGCTTCAGCAGCGTGCCTTCATCCGCGCTTAAAGGAACGCAAAGAAACCTCCCGATATCCAAACATATTAAAGAGTGCCGCCGGGGTCCCGTTTTTAAACGATTTCTCACGACGCTCTCAGGAGATTAAACATGTGAGGGCTATCGCAGTCTGGAGAATGCACTTCCTTCTTCGTTTTTGCGGCTGTTAGACCGCCTGCTTTGAGGCTTAATGGCTACGTCTAGAAAGATTTCAAGTTGAGGGCGTCTGATAAGGCAGCTCCGGGGCTGCGGTAAAGTCGCGTGCGCGCCAGTAGGTTTTTGTAAAATTACAGGTCTGTCACTGCCGCTCGATTGTCTGGGTGACCGTGGGTTCGTAAACGAAGATACATCGCGAACCTTTCTCAGAACTGATCAATAGACGGAGCCTTGACAAGCGAATAGTTTTCAGACTACGCGTCCAGCGCCGAGGGAAGTTCAAATAATAATTCAAAAGTAAATTTCTTGAAACGGGAGTAGATATATGGCCTAAACGATATCTAAGGAGAAGGAGGATTCGATAAATTCTCGGCAATCTAGAAAGCTTCCCTCAGGACGCCACAGGCTCCAAGCTTAAAACTTTTGAGTGAAATGAAGAGGTTCAGAGACTCTTTCAATTTCTTGCAGAAGTTGGTACATTGATAGATGCGTATATGTTGCGCACTAGGAAAGTAGTCTGAGATACTAATACTAACTTCATGTATGTGCGCCTTTTTGTGAGGCCGGAATTGTCTAGCGGAGTAAACTATGCTACTTTGTTTACATACCGTAACTAAAGAGTTTCTCGTAACTTTCAAAGGACCCCATGCGTTTGAAGAGCTAACTACTCTAGTTTTATACCATTTGAGCCTAATTGACGAAACTGGATTAGTTTGCGAGTTGGAGTGAAGACGTTTGGAGAGCACGGATTCAATCATTCTTTGTTACAATGTTATTCTAAGTCGGCAGTATAAAATCTGAGTGGTATTTACGGGAAAACTTGTTTTACTTCGTATGTAGTGGATATTAAGTTGCTCTTTTTTTTTGTCCCGGAATTTTTTTTTTTTTTCAGAGATACATACGTTTTGCTTTGACAACTTTAGATGCCTATATCGGCTAAGCTGGGTTGGGTTGCCTTATTGTTTTTCCTTACGGGTGGCGCGAAACTTTGCAATACGCGGAATGATAGCGAAGATAATGTAAAAAAAAGCTTTAGTCGAGATCAGTTTTTTCCTAAGTTTGGAAGTAAAATAAAACAAAAAGCATTGTTCGACAAAAATGCTTAACGCTTAAAAAAACAAAAACTTGGAGACAACAACTTTTATACTGACAACTATTATTTGAGGGACCCGAATATAGTCGTTTTTCTTCAAATTTCGCATAACCACAGCTTTTTTTTTTTGAGTAGCCGTCCGATTCTTTTTTATTTGGTTTAAACAAAAGGATAGCATGATATAACACAATTTGTAGAAATAAAAAAGAAATATAGCATCTGAATTTTTCTTCTGAACGCGTGGGAATAATAAAAAAATAGAAGTCTAAAAGACGAGAAAGTTTTTCTGAAATAAATAACCGCAGTAGAGTATTGCCATAAATTACTGCAAAAACAGATCAATGATAGCTTCCCTCGTCTGAAGGTTTTACACCTGAAAGATTTACACTAAGGAGCAGATTGCGCTCAAGGAGGTGATGAAACACCTTAAGCCAAAACATAGTATAAATTCGACTATAGATACATATATACAGAATGTTTCGCCAAATCTGTACAAATTCGATCTTCCGAAAACTACTTATCGCACCAAAATATTCTTTTGTCGTTTTGGTCTTAGGCCAGGGGCCTATTTAGGAAAATTATTAAAATTTGGGATAATGCCGTTGTTAATTAGTTTCGCGTATTTTCTTAAATATTGAGTTTAAGGGCATGGTTTCAATTGAAAACTTGTTGAGCATCATCGAAAACACTAAATAAAACAATGGAGTTCGATAGAAGGCACGTGCTGCATTTTACAACTTTCTAAAAAATCGCACAACTTCGACGGGTTTATAAGTCTCGGATTGCAATCGGAGCGCCTCTCGGCACCCATGGCACTTCACTCCGTGGAGAAATAGTGCAACTAACCTCTGCTGCGCTGTCCTAGCGCAACGCAGCAGGGGCTGGTTGCGCTTATTCTTTACGGGGTGCGGTGCCTTCGGGGCCGAGGAGCGCTTCAATTGCAAACAGAAACTTAAAAAGCTGTCGTAGTTGTGCGGTTTTTCAGAAAGCCGTAAAATACCGCATGTGCCTTCTATCGTTCTGCCATTTGTTGATTTAGTGTTTTTGATGATGCTCAGCAAGATCGCAATTGAAAATGTGCCCTTAGACTCAATATTTAAAAGCTTAATTACGCGAAAACAATTAACAACCTAACTATTCCATACTTTAATAATTTTCCTAAATAGGTCTCTGGTCTAGGACCAAAACGGCAGAAGCCTTTTTTTTTTTTGGTGCGATGCGTAGTTTTCGAAATATCGAATTTGTCCACCTTTCGTAAAACACCCTGTATACATACATATACAGAAAAAGGTTCTGCAGTAAAACCACAGCCGCCCGGATGAGCACCTATTTTTATTCCTTTGCGTGTTTGTGCACAGCATGCGAGTCTGCGATAACTAACTCTCAAACACGGCTCACTGCGTAAAATCCCTGTTTGTTATTCTTTCTAACCACCAAGATTTTTTATCCAAACGTTTTGACTAAGGTGATGACTACAGCGTCTGTATTTCCCAGTGCTTAAAAGTCTCCCTCAGGTGGCAGGGAATCGCTTTGTCTTGGTTATGTTGGCCTGGGGTGAGGGGGGGGGGGGGGATGTTTCTTGACAAGCAGCTTGCCTTGAAACTAAACTAATAACGTGCACATGCCTCCAAACGCTGACACAGCGTTTGGCTGACATAGCCGAACGCTGCGTCAGAAACACACCAAAATGATTCATGTTGTAACCTTGGGTTTAGTTCTCAGCTTCGCCACTAGGGGCGCGACAGTTGGATCCACTCCCCAAAGGGGTCTGAGACCCCCGTTGAAATCCTTAGGGAATCGGAGATCGCCCGAGACACCCCCGACTTTAAGCACTGCTTAGTATTTGTAAGCACAACTGTTGTTTCTTAAACTTGATACGTCCTTGAGCGTTCTTATCGGGGGGTACAAATATGCTTCAAAAACTAGGTACCTTACTAAAAGTGAAATTTCAATACCTATGAAGTTGGCCCAATATAGATTGAAATAAAGTTTCTTTCTTGAAGTAATGTGTTGTCTCATTTTGAGTCGGAGGGTTTCAACCTCGCCTATACGCCACTCGCTGTTGAGCTAAACGACCGACAGACATACCCCTTGGCCATTCAACCGTCGTTTCTGCGCCACGTGATCACACTCTCTGCACATAATCACGCGGAAGAAACGGGCTGTTTCAACATAAGGCAAAAATGTGATTTGTCCGACGAGCACGTAGCTTCTATCACCTTGTGAGCTTAGCGTCAAAGAGTGTAAGTGAGTATATATCTAACTGTAGTCCGCGGACTATGCACGTTTAAAATTTGCAATTTTGCGGAGTATACAATGATTTGAGATTTCAAGGCAGTTCTTTATGACGAGATGTGGCGGATTTTTTTAATATGATAGATTACGCTAATCATTTCCGCTTGATGCTAGATTCTTCATGCAGCGGGCACCTTTCAATGTGTTCCGTGTAGGAGAATAGTTTTACATGAATATTACGCACAAGGTGCCAACTATGCACAGGGTACGCATCATGCATCGGGTGCAGACTCTGTACTAGTCCGTACGGGATGCGTTTTCGTAAAACAACGCAATCATGCCCGTGTTTCTCGGACACTTGAAAGGCCTTTCGAATGAACTACTTTAAGAATCGGCGAACCAGCACGCGCCGATCGGCACGCCCAAAGTCAATATCGCAAGCTGATGAACTATCTGTTTGAAGGAGTTCGTTCTGAAGGCCTTAGATGTGGCCGTAAAATATCGGAGGTAGAACATTACCTGCAGGTCGATCCGACCCTGGTCGTTGTGATGCAGGATGACAGCTGCCAGGGCGGTCAACTTCTGCGAATACCTGTCCTGCTCGTCCATCAGGTGCATCCGGACCACGGCCGTGTTGTTCCCAGCTATGGCGCCGTGGCGGGAGCTACCGCGGCCGCAGTGGTCCTCGATGATCACCTGCCGCGGCCGCACGTTAGCCCTCAGCTCCGAGGAGAGCACGCTGGCGACGCCGTGCCGGAAGGCCTCCATCTGTGCGCAGAACTGGGCCCAGGTGTGACTCAGCGTGATGGTGATGCACAGGGCCACGTTGGACTCGCCGAGCACCGGCTGCCCGGCCTCGCCGTCGGGAAGGCTGGTGCTCAGACCTTCCACGGGCGCTACGGAGCTGGAGTCAGCGTCGCTACTGCAGCCCGTGTCGAAGCGCAAGCAGCCACCTCCTAAAATTACAACAGGTGCGAGTTAGCTTCTCTCAAGGGTAGGGAAGCTAACTCGGGTGACGTCTTTCGCCATACACCCCTGGCACCATCTCGCTCGACTCTGCGGGGAGAGACGGGTTAGTGGAAGCGACTGATTCAATTTTCGGTGCCATTCGTAGTTTGATCATAGTTCGCCATATTAGTCACGTGACAACCGAGAACATGTTTATGGGCACAGAGTTGGCTGCAAGTGACGCCACATCCTCGAATTCGAAATGGCGACGTACGTGGATTCAGGGATTTCGTCGAGCGCATGTGAGAATATGGGAGCTCGAATGTTGCGCTCGAGGAACATCGGAAGCAAACTATATTCTTTCAAAATGGTTCACAAGTCAAGGCTTCAGAAAGCAAGCTTGATACACAACTTGCTTAATCTTAATTCAAACATATTAAAAAAAAACAGAATTGGATGAGTTAGACGAGTGCCGTCTACACCATGCATTTATCAGGCTCGGCGGACATCATATGAGTGAATATTTTTTTAAGTAAGTTGGCTAATTAACTTATAATTTTTAATTAGCTTTATAATTATTGTTTTTTTTGTCATTTTGGAATTTCAGTGTTGACGGTAATTACTTTTAGATGTAAAGCAAATTTAGACAATTTGCGAAAAGGGTTTCAACATATTAATCAACTAACTTTTGCGTTTTTTTCGCCCGATTTTAAAATTGCGCGCAAATAGATCGCATCAACTCCTCCTTACATTGACACGTGGAAGAGTGACGAAGTCGTTTAGTTCTTAGCGTCACTTGTGTGGTCGGCGCACGCACCAAGGACACGCTCTCGATATAGTGACGACATGGTTGAAACAAGAATATCACTCTTCCATTGTCATTCTTGGCAGGGCTTGCAGCGCTCTTATTGAACGCAATCGTTAATGACCATGAAATTAATGCAAAAGTGCAAGCCCGCTGGACAAAAATGACGATAATAATCCCTGGAAAAGAGGAACAAGGGGGTAAAGGAATAACACAAATCTTTAAGCACAGCTAGGTGACTGCAGCGCGACCTAAAACATTCGCCTGGTCCTGGTATCGAACCAGGGACCTCTTCATGTCGAAAGCACTCTCTCTATCAACTATGCTACCAGTGGAGCAGGCTACCAACTGAGACGTCAGTAGAGCAACCGGGTTTTATCAGCCGCAACGAGTCTAACACCAACAAGGGTGAACGGCCTGCATGTTTAGAGGTTATGATGATAATGTAACTTATGCGAAGGAGGGAGCGAGCTGGACAAGAAGGACGATTATAATCCCGGAAGAAGGGGAACCCGGAAGAAGGGGAACCCGGAAGAAGGGGGCAAAGGACAAACAGGAATATCCAAACACAGGCCTTCTCCAGGGATTATAATCGTCGTTCTCGTCCAGCTCGCGTGCATCTTTGCATTATTTGCATAATCATCATAATTAAAATAATTTTACGATGCCCCCTTTTATGTAATGCCCCATGGGGGCCTTTAGAAGTACTTAAATAATAATAATAAGAAACTAAAAAATGTAGGCTGTTTACCCTTGGTGGTGGCAGTTGATAAAATCCGTTTGCTCTACTGACGTCTAGCTCCTGGTTTGCTTAGTTGGTGAAGCGCTCCACTGGGAATGGAGAGGCCCCTGGCGCCAGGACCTGGCGAATATTTGCGGTCGCGCACCAGCCGCCTAGGTGTGTTCGGATATTTATGTTTGTTCTTTGTCCCCGTCATTCCCCTTCTTCAGGGATCATTATCTTCGTTCTTGTTCAGCTCGCTAGCACCTTTGCATTAATTTCATTATCATCATAAATATTTATGTGATTTTTACGATGCCCCCTTTTATGTAATGCCCATAGAGACCTTCGGAAGTACTTAAATAAAAAAATATTAACCTTAAAAATGCGAACCGTTAAAACTGGTGGCAGTGTATAAAACCCGTTTGCTCTGAACTGACGTCTAACTCCTGGTTAGCTCAGTTGGTCGAACGCTCCACTGGAAATGGAGAGGTCCCTTGTACGATGCCAGGACCAGGCGGATTTTGTTCGGTCGCGCACCAGTCGCCTAGCTGTGTTTGGAGATTTGTGTTTTTCCTTGTCCCCCGTGTTCTCTTGCTGCAAGGAGTATTATCGGCAATTTCTAAATTGGGCGAAAAAACGCGAACAAATGAATAGATGAATATGTCTAAAACCACCACTTTTTCGCAAATGTTTTAAAATTGGTCTGGCCTCTAAAAGTAATGGACCTTTTCCAAATACCGACGGCACCAGGCGGTGGCTGCACGAACTAAAAATCAAGGAAGTGACCTACCTGCGCTACCAATCGATAACGGGAGCTACGCTACCAGTTGCTTCGCTCTCTGAGCTGCGTCGCGTGCCCAACGCGACTTTAAAGAGGGAAATCCGTAGCGTCCCCCCAAACGTCGTGTTTTTGTTTTCGTCCACTTTCTTTTTTTGTGTAACACAATCATATATATGCTGCAATTACGTGTTCTACTCGTCGATCTATAGCCTCATTCCAAATTTCCTCGATTTTTCGTGCCGACTTCCACCGCTTGGCGTCGGGCGCTCGCGCGTGCGCAGAACGCTTCTCGGAAAAGGTCTATTGTCTTCAATCCGCCGAGCCTGATAAATGCATGGTGAAGGCAGAACTCTTGTAGCTCTTACCCAATATAAAAATAAAGACAAGTTAGAATTAAAATAAGACACCATATACAATCAACACAAGCGTGTGAAGACATGTTCCACTATTGAAATAGCGTAAATAAAGCCGAAGTTTTACCAGCAGTACTGATATTTTATTTATCGAATTATTCAATAATTCGAATCAGAAACATCCTAAAGTCAGATCGATCTATTCGGACAATCATTATTTGATTTGAATTTCAAACTTGAATATTCGCACACCCCTAGCATTTAAGCCTAAAATAATCTTTTTTTTTTTTTTTCCTATGCACTGCGAAGGAACCTGCAAAAACCGTCTGATTGATGCTGCTATATACTCACAGGTGGCGCCTACCCCACACGCCCTGATCTGATGGATCTGGTTCCGGATATTCATCCCAAAAAGAATCTCTTACGTTTTTGTGTTTTATGTAGTGCCATCTATGAATAGCAGAGTCAACCAAGCAGGTTTCACCGCTTTTTAGCTCTTTTCTTCTAAAATTTACGCTCCTAAATTTTAATATGATAAATGTACCCTTTAAAAGTACCCATTTGAAAAGTTTAATTGCATGAAGTTATTTGGATTATTTATACCAAAAATGTTTTGTTTAAGCGCGACTAGGGCTCAAAACACTGTAGATGCTGGACTAAATGTTTAATGACGAGTTCGAAAGTGACGAAAATGTTGCCCTTGACAATCACACGAAAATGGTCAGTTTAGACTGATTAATCGGTGTAGACTTTAGTCCGCGAATAATGCATAATAAATTATTCCGCAGGCTAAACGGTTGATTGCACGGCTCTTGGTATATATATTTTTTCAAGTGAAAATCATTGACCGAACGCACAAGCCACACGCCTTTTTTATACGTTTCCATAACAATGAGTGTCAGACGTAGAAAGCTTAAAGTGTAACGCCATCTAGCCAGTCTTCAAGAGGTAGTTTATAAAGGAATCTTTGTATCCGAACGACGTGTATCTGTACGGCTTGTTCAAGACAAAGCGCTTGCGTTCAGATGACCTACTAAAAGTTCCTGTGCCATCCACTCACCCGTACTGTCTGTCGTTGGAACGTCGCGGACGGTAGCTGCAGTCGCCGGAGGCATCGGTGTTGTCTGACCCTGACTCTTAATAGTCTCGGTGGTGTGCGTAATTATCTTCCTGTCAGTACCATGCGCTCTAGTTGTCGGAATAAACGAACCTTCGGTATTTATAGTCGATAATGTTTTCTTGCTTTCAACCACCGAAGACGCCGTCGTCGTTGTCAGCTTTTCCCTAATGATGACAAGACTATCATCTTCTTTTTGGGTGACCGATTTTTCCATCTTCGTTTTTCCACTTTCGTCCAAGAACTTTTCCTGGTCATCTCCTGGCCAGTCCGACTCGGACAGCTTAGCGTCACTGACATTCCCAATGAATTTTGGTTCCACTGATATTTTTGAGACGGGGTCTTCTGGAAGCAAGAGCCCGGATAGACCGTCTTGGTACTTTTCAGCGCCTTCGCCGAATTCGTCATCCGACATGCCAGGATCAGGGCTCTGTAGCTCTGCTGTTGATGATAGTGTATCAGGACCTTCTGTGGCTGGAACCTCTTTCGGACGCTGCACTTCGATATCTTCGTCACCCGTTTGTAAGCTTGGGTTTTGCGGCTTCGGCGGAGGCGTTAGATTGCCCTTGTCATAATCTGTCTTTGGCTCGACTTTAGCTAGCTCGGACGCAGTGGTCAACTTGAGAGCTGGCCCGCTTGTTGTTGTGTCTGCAGTACTGCTCACAAGAAACTTAGTTTCTTTGTAGAGTTCGCTAGCCTTGGTAGCAGCGCGTTCTGACGGAACCTCCGAATCCACAGCTGCGCCAGTGGAGGCTAACGCTGATGTCACCGATAGAGATTTTTGTGGATTATGGCGGCTTTCCTTGGCAGTATAAATGACTGGCGTTGTATAAGCTTCTTCCAATTTATCAGTAGAAACAGAGATTTTGGGAACGTTCTGACCCGATGTTAAATCAGCAAGATCAGTATAAGCTGTCGGAATTGTAGACCTTCCCGAATTTATCGCAGCAGTGGTCTCGGTGTGCTTGAGCTTTTCGTCGTAATCGTCGAGCTTTGTTTCCGTTGCAGTTGTGGATTGACCTTGTGTTCTTTCGATCTCAGATGCATTCTCCGGTTTTGATTTGTGACCCTGGGAAAGTTCGTATTTCTTGTCGACTGTGATGGGGCTTCCGTCAAAAATCGGATCAAGTTGTTCTTTTGTCAGCGACTGGGTTACTTCAACATGCTCGTCCAGCAAGGGCGGTCTTAACTCATGAAATCTACTCCTCTCAGACATCGATGCGTCATCGTCTACTCCGCTTCTATGAACCGCAGTTGAATATGCGGTTCGTTTTGGGGTTAATTTACTCCCACTTGGCGTTACGATCTTTTCCTTCTCGTGCACCACGTTGTCTAAAGTAGAAGTGTTTTCGTAACTGACATCTTTTTTGGGATTGCCATCGTTGTCATCAGCATCTTTGAGCTTGACTTCGGATGTCGTTGAAGATGCGACATTGGTTGACAAAGTTGCCTCTCTTGGTGAGTCTGAAAACACAAATTGTCTCGATGTGTCAAATACATTTTGTTTGATCTTATGCCACGTAACACCCTCAACTCTTAATAGGCTGTCGGTGCTTGATTCTGAGGTTTCGCTCAGCTGATGAGCAGAGAGCTTGCTGGTGGCTGTTGTTGTCGATTTTAGGATCTGCTCTGGCGTTCGTAGTGCTTCATCACGTGGCAGTCCACCTGTGGTCGAAGCGAGCAACCGGAACAAAGGGCTGGTGGAACTCGTGAGCTTCTCTGACTGGTCACCTCCAGAAACTGGTGCACCTAAAGAAAAAAGAAATAAAAGGACACGTCACAGTGACTGTCTGTCGCAGTAACGTATTTGACCGCACATTGACTTCGAAACACATTCCGCACAGTACAGAATTGGCAGACTCCTATTAAAAAAATAGAGATGGGTTCCTTTATGAGACTTGCAAAACTGGAGCTGTTGTTTTGCACGAAAAAGACATATTTCAGGACAGCGTCTGCGACCGGCTCCCCAGAAGGTTACTCTTTCAGACGGAAACAAATGGGAAAGATTGGGGCTGCACGTCGCAAAGCAGGCCGTGAGCGACACCACACAGATTGGAAGGGGTTGAACCATAGGGTGCCTTCGCGTGCGCTTTAGGTTAGGGTGATGGCATCTGACCATTTAATTACTGACGCTTTTGCTTCTTTTTTTTTTGTTATAAAGCGCGTGAAAAAGCTGCGGAGCTCTTGGCAATGCGAGAGCCACGGGGGAAACCAGTTGGTTTTCGACGATTCCACTGTATTTTTTTCACTTTGAGCCCGTGCTGTCGGAATTAATTACTGCAAAGAGTGGCATCACCGTAAACAGAAAGACATTGAGACACGCTTGACCACCCAGGGTTCGAAGCCTTAACTCGGTTCAAAACACTCGGTGAAAGTAGTGCCTTATGCCTATAGATCATACTGCAAATACAGCACTGTAAAAAAAAAAAAAAAAAAAAAAAAAAAAAGAGTCTGCGGACAGGTTCTGACGCGTGCTTCTCTTGCGTGACTGTCCTGTCGTATCGGTCATACAGAAGCTGTCTGCAGAGATGTTTGTAGCATACATATGTATGAAGAAAAACAAGATTCAAACGTTGGTGAGGCGCGTCCTTAGATAATGCCGTCACCAGTACTGCGTGACTTTTATTATGTAAGAGCCGTGCGATGGCCTCTTTAGGACAAAGCGCTGGAACCTCTACACCAGGCGTTCACAATGTTTCCGCTTGTAAGCACGACGAAATACTAATTAAGGTTAACGTGAATCGCGTTACGGGGGAACGGTAAAAAGAAATTTGTATTTCGCGCGCACTGTCTCGATAAAACATTACACGACTTTTCGGACAGGTCATGCCGATTTTCATAGATTCGACCGCTTTGATCCGACACTAGCACACGTACGCACACACATACATACATAAAATAATCAGCTCCGAAACGCACGTGCGCACGAGAAATCTAACCTGCAGGACAGCTTCTCACGTATTTTACTTTGAGCATTTCGTTTCGAACCCGGCGATGGATATAAAGACGCAAGTTTTGTACTGAGTTTCCTTCCGTTCGTCACGCTGCTAAGCGATACAAGTCATGGTATAAGGTTAACGTTGAACAGGAAACTACCTAGAGCGCGGAGGAGCTGTAATAGGTTGACATTGAGGGCTCTGAAAGTGGAACGGGTGGTGCGCACCGGTAACAATACCGAAGTCATAAAATATCGCTTACTTTTTTTATTAGTTTCACGATGCTGAATGCGCCGAACAGACCAATCTGCTACTAACTCAGCTTGACCTTTCAGGTTGACCTTTCGAGGACCGAAGTTGGTGACATTGCTTCCCTGTTTTAGAGTAACAAACTTTTGCGAGAAGCAACAACAAACAAACAAGAAAAATGAGCTTAATATTTTACATAAAATATCGCTGAATAAACTTTTTTCTTGCAAATTACATTCAAATGCTTTGCTGGTGGAGCACCCAGGAGAAAACTTTGAAGCATTTTTGCCAAGGGAAATCAGGTAAGAAGTCTATTTTTTCGGTGGAACACACGCTAAAAAGAAGCGGAAAGTAAACGGAATGTCGAGGTCATGTTCAATTTACGTGCTCCATTCCACTGTGAAGTTAGAGAATCTAAAAGTATGAGTTTCGAAACTTATAAACAGTAGCGAAGATGATATTTTCTAGCTGAAAAACGAAATAAGCCAACTTGGATGCAGAAGCATTTGTCGAAACTCGAAGTTTTACGGTATTGCGCTAACAAGTAACGAGAACTTGCTCGAGAAAGTGAACTATCTTGGAACTAAGCTCGGTGTACCAGTCCACATTGAACAGGAGTGAGGGTCGGCACGCCTAATTCCTTTGAAACCAAGAAAGGTTCCACTCGTCATTGTTCGCTTCGCAAAACAGAAAATCTAAGATCAATGGCTAACAAAAAAAGAACGAGCTGAGAACCCAACTCGAGAAATGATCTGCATTCAGGAAAGCATGTCTCGACATAGCAGGTAACCACTTCGTGCTGCAAAAGCCGGGCGAGTGTGAAAATATTTCAGTTCATTAAGAACAGAAATGGAAAGTTTTTCTTTTTTCCTGCAAAGGACGGTGACAGAGCGTTCATTGTCAAAAATGTCGATGATCCTACGAAGATTGAAAAATTCACCCCTCTTCTCCTGCCTAATGTACGTGTTACTTTTTGTCGTTTCTGTAAGATGGTGATTACCAAAAACATACTACCGCAGCAACCGAAAGATTGTCTGGCTGAAGAACAAACCTTTTCTCTTAAGTGTTTTAAATTAAAAGGTGTTTTAATTTAAATAGAAGATCTGTGGAATCTAAATATGTTGGTTTGGAAGAACTTTTCCACTTGACGTTCACCTAGACGTAATCATGTTATCTGAAACTTGGTACAAATGTAATGGTGATGATTTAAACTACCTGAATAGAACTCTCACTCAATAAACCGGTTATCTCAGGGAAAAAGTGGCGTTGCCATGTTAATATATAAAACTATGAGGCATGCGATTTGGAGCGAAAACTGCACCTCGACCGATAAAGTGCTCTGGATAAAAATTAACTTCGATGTTGTGTTTTTGTGCTACCGTCCCCCAGATGGAAATATTTTTAAATTCTGTAAATTCCTGTATGACTCTTATGTTTACCGAAGCAAATAAGTATGATGTAATTTCGAAAAGTGTCATCAATGTTGACATATTAAGTGATTGCACAAAAAAAAAAATAAATACGTTTACAATCTCTTCTAACGCCGAATTAGAGAGCAGCTCTTGAGGAGGAGGGGGGAAGGGTATCAGGGGAGGCTATGCCCCTCATCCTCTCCTGCTCGCCTCACATTTAGAAAATTTTTCCACTAGATTTAGCGGCGAATTTTTCCGCAAAATTTAGGGGGATTTTTTTCGCGAAATTTTGGGGAAAAATTTTCCGCTATGTTGCGGGGAATTTTTTCGCTAAATTTAGCGGGGAAATTTTTCAGCTAAATTTAGCGGTGAATTTTTTCGCTAAATTTAGCGGTGAAATTTTTTGCTAAATTTAACGGTGAAACTTTTTGCTAAATTTAGCGGGAAATTTTTTTCCGCTACAACGGGGAATTTTTCCGCTAAATTTAGCGGGGAAATATTTCCGATAAATTTAGCAAGGAAATTTACCCCAAATGCGCCGCGCGGTTACGCCGACGGCGACGGCGACGCCGCTCAAGCCGGAAACGGGCGCCTAAGAGCTGCGCTCTAAAACGAAAACAATATTCTTATGCTTCTATAAATGAACGGTTTGCATGAATGTCATATGTCAGCCAATACGTATTTTTATTACGTCAGACACGGTTGATTTATTGTTTACTAATTTTGCGCTAAACATTATAAAGTCAGGTGTGGTGGCATGCAATATAAGAAACCACATTATTTTTTTTTAAATACATATATTAGTAAACATATATTACCTAAAATTCATACTCTTGTTTAAAGCATTGCTACCGACCGCCTCGAACATTTCAGGGAGAGCATGAGCACGCAGACTGAGCTTGGGTTTTAAACCAAACTGACGCTAATCATGCTTATTAAGTATTTATTCATACTGTCAACCCTATTTACGATAAGCACTTTTCTTATCAATAAATACGGCGTTTGAGGAAAACTCGATACCACGAATAGCAGAATTATTTGCTAAGATACAAATAAAAAACACGCTATTTGAAACTTTCATAAGAAAAACAAAAGTCCCAGAAAGGTTAAAAACTGTCAAGGCGGTCAGGAATTACCTAAACAAAGCATTGAAGAAATGTAAAACTTTCTACTACCTAAAATAGTTCAATATGTTATTGCACCGCACCGACGTGATGTGGAAAAATATAAATTCAGTTATAAATCTCAAATATAGACAAATCAATATTGAAAAAATACCGGACAATAATATTGAATTTGCCGGTTGTTTCCTTTCTAATCTATTTACTTTTTTTTTTTGTAAATCTAAGATGGAATTTAAACATAACCGATGCTTTTCATTATACCGACCGTAACACTGAGGATACCGTTTATTTAGATCGGGTAACGGAAGGAAGGTTATGTCAGTATTCCGTACCGTGAACACCCGTCATAGTTGTGATGCCGATGGTATACAGATGCGTCCAGTGTACATGTTCTGAACATTATCGGCCGTTATATGCCATACAGTTTTTATAATTGCTCAAAAACGGCCACATCCACACACACGCACAAATGCAGGTAGCTAAGGTTGTGGTTCTTTATAAAAGAAGGGGATACAGATTATATAAACAATGTACAGGTCTGTATCAATTCTGGTCTTTTTGAACTGCTTAGAAAAATATTTATAATTGTTTTATTATATTTATAGATAAACATAACTCAATTACAGAATCACAATTGAGGTTTAGAAGAAAAAAAAAAAAAGAACGCTCTCCGGAACTTGCTTTGCTAGAAGACTAAAATAACTAATTCTACGTAACATTAAAGGTACGAATGTTGTCCTGGGAGTATTTATTGATTGTACGAAAGCATTCGACCACAATTTTCATAAAGGGTTCTTTCGAAAACTTAAAATTTGTGGTATTACAGGCTACGCTCCTCTTATCAAATCGTGTTCAGAAAATCGGTGCCAATTTGTTGAATCCCGAAGAAAACCTCACCGGAGATAAGCTCACCAGAGAAAAGCTCACCCACGTTTGTGCGGGTCATGAGAAAAATTAACCAGTTTTTTGACAGACCCGGAGAAAACGTCATTTCAAATAAAATTTTATGTAAAGTGGTCGTTATCATT